TCCTCAGGTTTCTCAGATTCCCCAAAGTCCACATATCAACCAGCACCAGAGAGATCCCTTATATCGATCCATGCGTAAATCTCAGAGCAGTTTATGCTCATATCTCGTACGAAAGCTAAGGCCGTTACTAAGCCTATATCAAGCCGTAGGAATTAGTTCATATTCATCCCGGATACGAAGTGTCAGATATGGGCAGGGTATCGATTGGTTCGTTTAGAAGAAAATAACAAGGCTTCCCGGCTGCGCGGGATGCTATTAACGGGGATGGGGATATGCTTCCGCCATTTAAGGTTTCACACTCGGCAAGCCACAGGTAAGACTCTACAGCTGAGATCTAATATATAATCAGTACTTGTGCATTGGTTATGTCACTGGTTAAAACACTTATGTATTACCTACGAAAGTCGACAACGTGCTGTATTCATCCACTCGTAAAGTGATTCCAGCTGTAATTGCCAAATAAAATGGTTGCTGCGCTGTCCAGTCAATTTTTTAAAAGGAAATAGAACGTACAGAATGGATCTAGTCTTATGCGCCAACTAAGCCGTGATAAATGATGATGTGTCAGAGTCCACTTGTGCTGGGCAGAAAAAAAATGTCGCGTCGGTTGTGGAAGGAAGGCTGAATCCTTCTGTTGGAGGCAACGGCAAGAGCCGTTATGGCGTCTTACATGCCGCGACAGTCTCCTCTAGGCAACTAGAGAAATCCAAAGAGCTGCCGCTTCCAAAAATCCTGCGAGCAGACCTACAACCATAAGCTAAGTAAAATAGTTGTACTACGCAGTCAGACGTATTATGTAAAAGTAGGGGAAGCTGAGACATGTTGCAGGTAGATAGGATTCATCCGAGAACAAGGCAGACACTAGGGTACCCTTGAATATTCGCGAGCTCGACTTCATAGGGATCCTGAGCTTGAAATTGTAATGATGATTAAGTTAGTCACTTGTTGCAGGAGACAACCTTCACTAATCGTGATTAGACTTTGATTCATTACATGCCTTAAATTTACCTTAATTCAGAGTAGTAGGTACATAGAAAATATCACGAATTTATAGCTGAGGAGCTGTCGTATAGAGTTGCGTAACAAGATATTGACCATATCATCGGGGCTCCAGAATATTCTCCGCGTAAGCGGAATATTGAAAGCTTCCAAAAATTTATCCGTCCTTGCTTACGAAGGAAATAGGTGGCAAGGATAATCCTTCTCCTTCGTTGCGGACGGATCTCGTATCTCATGTTAGAAAATCCATATCGAATATCAATTGTCGTAAAACCGCAATCAACTACTTAGGATGCATTAGGAAGTCGGAGAATATGGAAGGTAACAAAGTTGATTGAGAATTGCTTGTTCCCAGATAGATGAGTCCTTCGCGATGCTCTCAGTGCCAGCTTTCTAAGTAGATAATGTTTTTCCTAAACCGCGAGCAACTATAATGAGTGTACGGGCTGTTAATATATCCTTAGTAAGGAACGAGAAGTGGTAGGTTGTCAGTTTTGTGGGGTGCTTTGGATTCTTTCTAGTGGACCGTTCCTTCATGGGCCGCCAACATATACAGAATAGCATGATACCGTTTGTATCTTTCTTTGGAATACTAATAATGCGCCCTAACATTGGTAATGAAGGGTCATCAACGGCTAACCAAGCCAGCTGAGGAATTATTCTTGAAAGTGTATACCGTTACTAAATTTTAGGGGCAGCTGAACGAGCCCTCGACTTTTCTTTGGACTTTTTCTCTGATTTCTCCCGTTATTTTACGCCAAGAGATGGCTGCTGAAGTGCTTGCCGCACTGGTTGGGATAAGCAATTTTGAATGACCTATCCTCGATAAGATCTGTATGTGGCTTATGTGGGATTTCGTCGTGGGGATATACCTTGCTAACGTATTATCCTATCCCTCAAAATGAGTCGCTAGTCGCGGTATTAATCTTTGGGAGAAACGGGCAAGTATGACGAGGCTTTCCTACGAATGGCCGGATAATGATAGGCGAATCCCGGGGTTGGTGTGGAACAATTCCATCTTGGCCGCCGTTTCCCGAGGCCTTCTAGCCTAGTGTTTCTAGTGTTGTTGTCAGAGGGAATAATAGGTTGGCTGAAAGATTGCCGGTGCGAACGCTAGTGTGATGATCTGGGGTAACGGTAGATAAGATGATGAGGTTATTATCATGATGGTTGACAATTTCTGAAGAGTTTCAGTGGAATGCTGAAGAGTTCAATCATTATTTGGCTAGCTAGGGACTAGGAACTCCACCAGCTTCACCGGTAAATACAGGTTCTAGAAGTACTTTAGAATAACCAACATGTCTATTATAAGGCTCTGGTCACTTCTATAATGTACTTGTGGTGAGAGGCGAATCTTGTCTCCGGGAGGGAGATGAGGAACTGAACTGATTGGTTGAGGATGGCCAGCGGGCCATATTTATGTACATGAAAGGGGGTATATTAGCTGATATCCAGCGTGATATCGAGCGTGATATCGTACGACGGTATCCGATACAGCTCGGCAGACTTGCCAAAATCCCCATGACAGTATTTTAAAGCGATAGACTACTACTACTATTTACCTGTATTCGTTCTCGATTTGCCTTACCAGTTATTATAGGGAGCTGACGGACTACTCTAGTCCAGCTATACTACACGGGACACATTCTGCACAAACAAGACACTTTCTGGCACTAGATATTGTTAATGTAATACTATCTAAGAATGAGACAACATATATATCTATTAGGTTTATGCTTTCACAAAAGGCATTGATACCGATGTCCAATGATCAGCGGAGCGGAGCGATAAACTGACGATAGCGTCAGCAGAATCATATGGATAGGCTTTTTCTGCAGACATAGTCAATCTTATTGTCATAGTAATAGATATTCTTTACGGAATAGACAAAGAATTATTTATGTCCTCCGCATCGGCGTTTTGAGGAATGTTTGACTCTGATAAGCTCTTTTAGAGCCTGCTATATGCACAAGAAGGTAGCGACAAGAAACACGGTAAATTGATTAAGGTATGAGGGGATCTTACAGGGCATTTGGGATAGCCGAATTGGTAAGAAGGCCCCTTATAAGTACTCGACTAGCTTCAACGGCGAGAACAGGCGCTAGAAATACTTTAGAGTGGCTAGCATGTCTAGAATAGGACCCTAAATCCTTCTATAATAGATTCAAGAGTGACAAACTACATATTAAGACTTCCGACCTATCGATTCACGTACCCTGCCATGGATAAATCGAACATCCCAACTCTTATTATAGGTTTTTGTAGCCCGTCTGAGCTGCTGCCTACTTAGAAAGCTAGTACTGATAGCATTACAAGGTTTTGCTTATCTAGGTAATCAAAGTAATTTGAGTTACAAAGATTTGGTATGAGAGGAGGAAAGATATATTCATTCTCTCTCAATGTTCTAGACAAAGTCTAATTCTAGTATGCTTCTATAGAGCTTGAAGCACCGATTTGAAGGTACTGATGACCATCACAATGAATTGGTAGGACATGCATGAGTTATCTTGCAGGGTCTCAAGGATTACTATGTTGATCCAAGGGTCCATTGCAGCAGAAGCGCCGAGATATGCTGGAAGAGTGATGTCTTGAAATGTCATGAAAGGCGCTGATGGTGGTCGGTCTCGTGAAAGGTGGAGGGAATGATGAATGTATCGAGTAGTCCTTAGGTGAATGGGATGATGGATGTGTCGACCAGGTCTTCCTCTAATATCTCTAGTCCTATCCCAATTTTACTCACTATTGTGGCATTCTATCTCCGTATTTATCGCAACGTGTCTAGTATTGCTAAGGCTGGCAGAGAAAGTGATGAAACAGCGGCGCCATCGATCGAAAGCGTTCGCCCTACGAAGCGTGCGGCCTTAGAATTTAAATAGTACTAAGAATTGGGATGTATTCCGATAATTTCCTTGTTCCAACCGCGCAGCTTTATTTTCCTGCATCAATTGCATGTTCCACTCTCTGCAAGATAGCACGATAGAGGTATTTTAGTAGCGGGTGGATATTATAGGAGGCCACAGGCTGACCTTCTTACCCTTGAATTAGGGGATACCTAGCGTATTGAGTGATTATGAAAGACTTGAAGGCAGGGAGCTTGATCGGCGTATTGTTAACTGATTGTTGAGCTGTGGGAAACAGAGTAGAGGAAGCATGTATTTCATTGCTTGCTTGGTGGAGCGCGCTCTCAAAAGGACTATCTAAATAGAGCTAGTCCTAATCGGGACTAGTCTGCAAACGCCGATGTTTGTGAGGTCTATCACCTTGATATCCACCCTCCAACACTGATCCCGAAGGGCTCGGCGACAATAAATTCAACTACCTTGTTGCTGCATAATCTGGAGCCGTTCTGCGGGCATAGATTCGGTTTATATGACGGTGAAAGGATCAGAAAGACCAGAAAATGACGATGTTTAGAAGATGTTGAAGAGACGGCGCTCAATGCATGACTTCCTGATGAGGTTGAAGAAGTATGTTATCTCAACCCTTCGGAATTCCGAGGGCTTCCGCGGTGGAGCTTTAAGTCCATCCCAACTAGGGTCGTCTCATAATAATTGTTGAAGCCATTGCCATTCGCGCTACGGGTCCACTGTCACACTAGGACTATATCGGGGTAAATTTTTCAACCCGGCAGGGTCTCCCCCAGTTAATCGCAAAATATTCGTAAATATGAATATATATAAATTGATTAAAGACTGAGTTGTTGATTAGCGAATTTAGACCGCGCCGGGTAGTGTCAGGATGAAAAAGACGACGATTCTTTGGGAGGTATATTAGTTGCTAGTACGCTGTAAAGCATAGTGCTATATGAGAATAATAGCTCCGCTTGTAAAAGGAGTAACTGATCAGAGGCTTTCGGTTTAAATAATACTGTGTCGCATCTGACTCCCAGCCGAGCCACAAGATTAGAGCCTCTAACCCACGCTGCATCCAAGCTGTCCCGAGCCGAACCTCGGGATTTTATAGATATAAATAATGTTAAGCTGCAAAACTTCCATATTTCAGACAAGATGGCCGAGTTGGTCTAAGGCGCTAGCTTCAGGTGCTAGTATCGAAAGATGCGTGGGTTCGAATCCCACTCTTGTCAACATCTACTTCATTTCCACTAGTTATGAATGATCAACGTTCATTTTTTGGCATTTTTTGGAAACTCGAAGCGAGCGCGTGGCGACGTGTGCACGCTAAGATCTTGATGTACGGGGTGGCCTTAAGCGAAGAGATTCAGGGTTCGAGGAATGCGGGTAGGCATGGCTTTAAGCATCATTGATTCGCGCCATAACCACCGGCCACCTTTGCAGCTACATCTGAAAAGCTGCTACCCCTTAGTTGAGATGCTATAGCAAGAGTACGATGTTGCTTTTGCTCCATGCAGTACAATGCAACCACCGGATTGAAAAACTGCTTGAGTCTCTTCATGCGCAGGCACGCGGGCGGGATTGAAGCGAGCTTGGCCGGAGCTTCGAACTTCAATCCCCTCCGAGAAGCTGAGGTCTGTCATCCTCGTCGCCCTCGCATTAAGTTCTGCGTTGTTTTTGCATTTTGCTGCTTTGCATTCTTCTCATGATCTCCACGTAGCGTTGTATACCCGCCGCTCTCTGGCAGGGCGGCAAACGCGCCCCGTATCTTGTTCGGCGCTGTCTCAAGCCCATCGCGATATCCAGACCAATTGGACTCGTAAATTTCTACGAAGATGTTTTCCAGAGTCGCCTGCTTGGGGCGACCGTCATGGGCCATTCTATGCTTACTATCTAGTTCTGCTGTCCTGGGCTCTGTGCTACAAAACGGCGACGACAGACCCCTCGGTAAGAGCTTCGCCTACGTCTCACAGCGCTTCATCGTTGTATTGACACCCCTCCTAGCAGAAAAGGAACTAATATTCGGACCCGAGAATCAAAATGTGCTCCAAATTATTCCCGTCGATCCCAAGCCACCATCATCGAACCCTGCTTATCCTAAACCCCTCGGTATGTCCCCTGCCGCGGTGACGAGCGCCCTCCAAGACCTACATTCCGCCCTCTCGGTAATGCAATCCACATACTTCTCTCTCTGGCTAGGAAAATGGACCACAGCCATCGACTGGACAGCCGCCGTATTGGGCACCCACTTATCCTCCACGCTCTCCTCCCTCTCCCACTCCCTCTCCTACACTCTCCCGGGCACCTTCGACAAAACGGTAAAACTAGACGTCGAGGCGCAAATGGTGGAGAACGAAATAAACAAGTATTTTGCTCAAAGCATCGCATATTTCTTCGGTGAAGATGCTTTCGCAATAAGAATGGAAGCATACGATGACATGCTGTGGGTTGTCCTCGGGTGGTTGGAATCAATGAACTTTATCAATTCGCACAGCGAGCGGCATTACCCACTCACCGAGGGCATCATAAGGGAAGAGTCAGAGTGGCACGGGAAGCAGTTTATACCAGCGTTTGCGCACAGAGCGCGAGTGTTTTACGAGTTAGCGGAACAAGGATGGGACTGGGAACTTTGCAGTGGCGGGATGTTATGGAGCCCGCATACGTTACCGTATAAGAATGCGATTACGAATCAACTTTTCATTTCCGCGGCTGTCAGCATGTATCTTTATTTTCCGGGGGATGACAATTGCTCGCCCTTTATGAGTGACCAGGAATCTGGCGTGCGTGCAAATTTCAAGATGGGGAAGCAAGACATGGACGAATGTGACGAGAGGATGAAGGGGAAGAGTACCTACGATCCAATCTATCTAGCAAGCGCAATCAATGGCTACAAATGGCTGAAAAATAGCGGCATGATGAACGAAAAAGGCCTCTACGTCGACGGATTCCACATCCACGACTATGGCAAAAACGGCACAATCGGTACCGGGAAATGCGACGAACGCAATGAAATGGTATACACCTACAACCAAGGCGTCATTCTCTCCGGTCTCCGCGGACTCTGGGAAGCCACAGGAAACCTAACATACCTTGAAGACGGTCACGAACTCATCCGAAACGTGATTCGGGCTACAGGCTGGACCGATACCGATACCCCCACAATCTTCTTAACAGAGTCGCAGCACCAGCATGACACCACCAAACGCCCTTCGGTGTCAAACCATCAAGCCCACGATCAGACCTGGTCTGGCCTCGGTAGTTCAGGCATCCTAACCGAGCTCTGCGATCCCTACGGCACTTGCTCTCAAAACGGCCAGACCTTCAAAGGCATATTCTTTCACCACCTGACTAACTTCTGCACGCCCTTACCCACCTCTGCAACCACGCCCGGCAAGACATTCGCCGCGTCAAAAGACACCGCTACGTTACATCAAAGAAGCTGTAACGAGTATGCGCCCTGGGTAATTCATAATGCGCGATCTGCCCTGAGGACTCGAGACGAGAAGGGTAGGTTTGGTATGTGGTGGGGTACTGGACTAGCTTCGCATGGCCACGATTTCGAGTCTGATACACCTCCCGCCGGTCGGCTTCCAAACCGAAATGACCCCCTAAGACCGAGTCTTCCTGAAGACGCAACAGATCACCAAAACCCCGTCCCATCCTCAATTTCGCGCTGCGGCAGATTTCCATCAGACAGAGAGGGGCAAGAACAGCCGTGTACGACCGGGGATCTGAATGATAGAGGGAGAGGAAGGACGGTGGAGACGCAGGGTGGTGGTGTCGCCGTCGTTAGGGCCATGTGGGAGTTTCTTAGACACTTTAATAAGGGATGAATGAGGATATTACGACTATTTGGCATTTTATTGTTTTAGGGACATTCTTGGCTTCTGTATACTGAGCGAATATTGCGAAGATGGCTCGTACATGTTTATTGCATAGATATGAAAGGCCATTATGCCTTGTTGAATATGATGTTTTCTAGGCGCAAATAACATATACGGAGTAAAATTTTTTTTTTTTAAAAAAAAAAAAAGTGAAAGTTTTCGTAGAATGCAGCAGAGGCCAACCACCCTCTATTAGTTACGGCCTAGGTGCTCTACCGGCTTTAGCAGCGAATATAGGCTCTAGAAGTACTTCAGAATAATCGACGTGTCTAGGATAGGGCTCTAACTAGTAACTCTTGAAAAAATGCATGAGCATTCGCCTAAGTATCGGAAACATTTCATAGCCATATTTAGATCTGTATTTTTCCATGCATGCTTCTTCACTACGCTACCACACGAGTATATTCTCTTCGAAGTATATTCATCGTATTTATAACATAAACTTTGATACACGAATTTCCTCATACCCTCACATTGGAATTCTAGACTAATGCCCTCCGCCTCCTATCCATTGTCATACTATCCGCATATGCTAAACAGCCTAGTCTCTTAAGTCATCGACATTATAAGTGCCCTGTCTATACCTTTGCCGCCTCACATAATACCCAGCTCCGCAAACCCCTTCAAAACATCCTTATCAACCCTACTCAACCACTCCTCCTGGAACTGTGCCTCACCGCCCACTGCCTGAATAGCCTGTTGGAGATGTTCCCTGACAAAAGAGACGAGGTTTAGCCGGTGGACTGGGTCCGAGTATATGAGCTCGCGTTTACGGATATCTTCCGGGGCTTCCGGGTCGCGGGTTTCGGTGGGGAGGGGCTCGGGAGGCCAATGGAGACAACTATTCCGCGTTAGCAGTCGAATGTGTCTCGAAACGGAGTACGACTAGAGAAAGGTGACTATAGGATTGGGGAAGGGGTGTAATCCACATACTCCGCACTCCGATCATCACAGCCATCTAGCAACTCGGTAAGAACATCCGTCCAAACCGTCATCAAGCTCTGCAACCTCCCCAAAACCCACCCCTGTCTCGTCTCCAAGAACCTCGTCAGTACAAGACACATCAACTTTTTATTCGGCGCATCTCCAATATTCTCAATGTGGCTAAACCATTCCTCCAACAACCAGTCGAGCGTTTTTTCAACATCATTTCCACCCATAGATTGCAAAGCTTCGAGAAGGACAACCGGCGATGCAAGACCGATGCGCGCAAGGACCGTGAAATAATCCGTTTCAACAACACCGTCGACAGCGCGTGAGGGCATTTCGCGGTAAGGGCCGTGTGATTGGTGGTGTTGCCATGCACCGTGGAGACCTTCTAGGACTTTGGCAAGGAAGCTAGTAGAGATGAGATCCGCGACGAGCACTTTGACAGCCTGCTCGCCGCCGAAGCCTTCAGCGCCGCGAATTACGCATTCCATTAGATGAGTGACCATTCCATTGGCATCAGGTTTTAGGCTGCCTAGAAGCTCGGCTAGAGCGGAGAGGAGTGCTGGGCGGAAATCATCTGCTAGGACAGAGGCCGGGGATAGGAGTAGGTAAGCTTCTGTTATTTCGAGTGCTTTACGGAGGGTTTCGTTGTCCATGGAGAATAGAGGTAGTAAATATTGAAGAAGGTTGAGGAGTTCTGGTGGAATTGGTTCTGGGGCGGATGGTGTTTGCGCAATTATAGATGACCAAAGATCGAGAGCATCTTCAAGAAGATAGACCTGTGTCTCAGAACCCGGCTCAATTGCGCTCTGGATAATGGGCAGAAAAGAGACGTGAAACGATCGCGACTCAGCTTTCATTGCATTCGTCAAGCGAGAGAGGATAGTAAGAATGGCCTGTTTCATGAGATGTTCTTCTCCAGACTGCTCCCAAAGAGGCGGCAACAGTGAAATGATGCTATTTGCGTAGGGTGTGATCTATTCAACATAAGCCTCTTCACTAGAATGAGCAAATTACCCAACTTACGTGATGCTCCAACCTCTCCACAATAACACTAATCGTGTTCAGCAATGCCATCTTAGTCTCCGGAAGCTCTACCTCTTGTACCAGCGCCATTAGCCGCTCCAAAGTTAGCGGTGCATACGGCATGAAGTTGTCGGCGTTAAACTCCCACTCATCGGCAACATCCTTGAACTTTCTGCCGGCGGTAACTCGCACTACTTGGTCATTGAGTGGATCGTTCTTATCCATTAGATGCTGAAATATTTGATAGACAATTGGCTTCTTATCTTTCGCAACTTTAATTGCAATCCATTGCGATATGATGATCGCTATCCGGCGGCGGATGATGTTGTAGCCGGGCTTCTGTTTCTGCGCCTCCGGTACTAGCGTAGTAGTAATAAAGGAATCGAAATCGA